TTGAACTGAGAGTGAGATTGCTGTGTATACACATCGTCTCCAATAACACATTTAAGATTTACCACCATTTTTTGAAGCAGGAAAATAGTGGGTTTTTCAGCCCTGAGTAATGTCTACGGGACAGGCTGCATACATCGCCCACAAAGCTCTAAAAACCTAACATGAACCTGAAAGGTAAACAAAAATGTCCACTAGACTCAGACTACATTTTTTTTTTTTCATTATAAATGTCCAGCGTTCTTGGTAAAGTGCCAACTTTTTTGAAAAATTAGATCAAGTTTATGATTCAAAATGAAACATTGAGATTTTAAAGGTGGGGTAGGTAAGTTTGAGAAACCGGCTCGAGATACACTTTTTGTTATATTCCATGGAATGCTCTTAACATCCCGATAGCAATGAATATCTTAAGTGCTTTGACAAAAAATCCATGAAAAAATGTCATCTGTGGAAGCCGTAATACTGTAAAAAGTACGACCAATCATTTTAGCCGGCCCGGCTAAAATAACTGGATGGCCTACCTGCCTGTCAGCCTTCCATTGGGGCACAAATTTATCTCGTGCCCTCATTGGTCATGTGCGCGTTCGTGTGTGTTGGAGGAGGGGCTCTGTAAGGAAGTGGCAGATTTTTTCCGGCTGTGTATTTTGAAATTCTAGCGATCTCGAGCCGGTTTCTCAAATGTACCTACCCTACATTTAATGATACAAATGATTTAAGGGAATAAATCAACATAATAGGGTTTTAGATTTCATTACTTCTGATTGAGATGTGATTCATTAAATGTTCCTCCCCTTTGGAAAATATTCTGAAGGAGAATATTTTTCTCAAATATAAACAAAATATGAAAATGACTGAACAGAATCACACTTACTTCTCCTGAGTCATCCTGTCAGCTGCTTCTCTCTCCGTCTCTCTCGATGTGCTGGTGAAGACTCAGATATCCACGAGGTCGCTGCTCTCTTTGAGCCACCTTTGGACAAACATTTGAATATTGAAATTCAGATGTCAAAGAGGTCTATCATGGTGGATATAGGATCCATTGATGGAAAGAATATTAATTACACGATGTGACAGGGAAAACAGTTGTTGGATCAAATGGATAAGATAAAATAAATAAAACAACTTTGACTTGATAATTTGGTTCACAACATTAGACCTGTCCTCTAATCTCTACTAGAATAAGATAAGTATGCATGTTTGGGTGTTTTAACACTCCAGTGATGTACCTAATCTTGATATCCTTTTCATTACAGAGCTGGGAAAATGGTGTATTGATTAGATTCTGATCCGTGCACGTCCAATTTTGACTGACTTTAGTTCTAATGTTAATGTTAATTTGACTTCAACCCATAAGTAATTATTTAAATTACCTCTAAATTTCACATGATGATGGATTAGTGTTCCACAGGAATACACAGTTGCACTGCTCTCAAGCAGATAGCAGAAGGAATACAGGCAGATGAGCCTCCGCTTCACTGGGGGATCAACTACAGTGCTCACTGAATGGGCCACACAAAAGCAGAGCAAAAGGGGTTGAAATATGGCGCTCTGATGAAGAAGAGTTTGAGCCAATCAGCACCTCAGTGCTAATCTACAGTATCAGGATGCCTTTACACACCAGACACTCGGTGTCATAAAGGGAGGAGGAGAACGAGTCAGGAAGACTGACGGACATGTTCTCCCAGCTCTCGTACAAAGATGAACTTTGAATTGAATGACCAGATGTTTACAGATGTTCAATTAATGATTGTTTTTTATATTTCCAATAACCAGACATGTGTTAAATAGTGGTGATTAATATATTTTTGTCAGATCAGATTACACTTTCGCACTAAACAAAAGAAATGTTTTAAATAATAAAAGGTATTGAATAATAAGGTATTTCCACTATTATCACAGATAATGTTAATATCCTTAATCATCCAGCAATCAGGCTTAACAACACTACTCTTTAATGTATTACCCATGCACAGACAGACCTAAAACTATGTTTCAAGTATTGGATTAATTTCAATTGGCCCAAAACAAATATGTATAATAACTCATATAACAATTATGTAGCATATTTGATCCTCAAATTAGAGAAGTATAGTTTAAAGAAATTGATATTCTATATTCAACATTATATAAGCACAGAAGAACCCTTTCAAAGTACCATAAGTAGATGTTCAGGTAAGTATGGCTAGAATAATTAATTGAGTTAATTTGGTACAGATCAGTTGTAGCATTTACAAATGTATGAATTAAAGTTTTAAGAATTTTTGAGAAACCAGCTCGAGTGCGCTATAATTTGAAAATACAAAGCCGGAAAAAATCTGCCACTTCCTTACAGAGCCCCTCCTCCAACACACACGAACGCCCACATGACCAATGAGGGCACGAGATAAGTTTGTGCACAGATGGAAGGCTGACAGGCAGGTAGGCCATCCAGTCATTTTAGCCGGGCCGGCTCAGATGATTGGTCGTGCTTTTTACAGTACTACGGCTTCCACAGATGATATTTTTTTATGGATTTTTTGTCAAAGCACTTAAGATATTCATTGCTATCGGGATGTTAAGAGCATTCCATGGAATATAACACAAAGTGTATCTCGAGCCGGTTTCTCAAACTTACCTACCCCACCTTTAACTGGATCCCTTATGATCCTGATTTTATACCTTAGCTGGATCTCTTATGATCCTGAGTTTAAAATGCTTTTGACTAGTGATGGCCTTGAAGTAAATCTTTAAACTGCAAGCTGGTTTTGATTTTATAGTTTGATAAAGGAGATTAACTAATGAGTAAATGTTAAAACATATTAGTTTAAAATAAATGTTTTTGTTATTATGTATCTGTGATTTTATGTATTCATTATTATGCTTTTGACAAAAGACACCTGTAACCTTGGCTGCTGTGCTCTCAGTGCTTTGTCTCCCTGTTCCTGCCTGTTGGCGTCAGCTGATAGAGGTGTTATGATTCTATCTTGTTATGCACAATGTTGATTATTCTCTCTGAACTAGAGAAATACAGGTCTGGGGTAGAGTTCTTCAGAATTGACACGGCAACAGAAGTTTCCCCCACACATGCGATACATATATGAGAGGAACCAGTTACAATACGCAAGTGTGAATCAGTCAATTCCTGCCACACAACGGTATGGCAACCTAAACATTTATTATAAAGAGTTTCTGTAACTGTGTACACCCTTCGTGAAAGTTATAGAGCATTAAATGATAAGGAAATATACTAGAAATTAGAAATACTGAAGGAAAAAAGATACATTCACAATATAATGTTTACTATAACAAACTCTATCAAAATAAGAGACATAACAGAGGTTAAACTTACGCTGGTTTCTTCTCTCCTCGCTTCACTCTCTGCGTCATACTGGTTTAGACTTCTCCCAATAGATGTTTAATATGTCGCTAATTTACTGCCAGCATTTGAATATTACAACACAAAATATTATGATCTCTGTCGCGACTATTGATCCAAAGCAGAAGTCCATATCAGTTATGACAGGACATTTACATACAGTGATGTAATGGAAAAAACCCAGAGATGGGACACGGAAAGCTGGCTGTCCAACAAACATGGTTTAAAAAATGCTGAAAGCTACACTGATGAAAAGTTGGGAAATAATGGTTTTATCCTCAAAAGAAATACTTACTTACTTAATAAATACTTATGAGCCCTCAAAGCGTTTTACATAAACAGGTCAGCATTCACCCGTTGTCACCCATTCATACAGAGGCAGAAATTAACATTCATACATTCAAGCACCGTTTAGTCTTACGTCCCAGAGGGGTCTCTTGGGGGAGAACGGAGACGATAACATACAACAAGCAATAAATTGAGGCAGTCGGAATAGAAGTGGGTGCAGGTGGTTCTAGACTAATTTTACTGGCGGGGCGGTGATGGGGCCAATCATTTAATGAGAGGCACATGTAATGCAGGAAGAAGGAGATTTAAAATGTTTTTGTTTAAAGTCATAGCGCATAATAAAGCATAAAATACCATTATTGGTGTTTGATTAAGTAACAGAGTTTGTGTCAATGACTTTGTTATCATTTTATTTGGTTGTTTTAGTTACTTTGGCCCAAGATACAGAAGAATAAAATAAGTTTGGGATAATAAATACATTATTTATGCAGCCAAACTTAGGTTTTATTTAATTTATTGATACTTGTTATTGTTTTAGTCACAACATTCGTTTCAGTAACTCACTTATTAAATTATATTACTGAAAAAAAGCACAGTAACTTAGTATTTTACATTAATTGCATTATCATAGATTTATTATTTTGGAGTCGGGCCACAGGGGGGTCCAAGCTCCGTGTCACAGCCCCCTGTTTGCCCCCCCTAAGTGCCCCTGCCTACACACAAGACATGTTTAAACCAAACACTCCTTCACGTGCGCTTCACTCTGCATCGACCAATCGGCTCGCTCCTTCCCCAGTGTGAGTGGGACCCAGGTACCCGTCTGCAGAAACGAGCCTGTTTGCTATCCTCACTCCTAATTGGTGCAACGAGCTCCCTGCTGATATCAGGACAAGGGTTTTCAGCACTTACAGTACTTTCATACTTATCGGCCTTTTGTTTATGTATAGATACAAAAATTGAAACTGACCATGTGAAGGTTTAAGAAAATTCAATAAAACTTGTGCACATTTTTTATATTCTACTAGAAACCCTTTCTCTTGTAGCTATATTAATTGTTAATTAAATGTTTGTTATCACTCTCCTTATTGTAGAACTCGGGCAGTAATAACTCATCGTTTCAGATAAAGTGTTCTGAAACAATTAGAAATATAGACATTATAATGGATATATAAATATAATTCATATTATTAGTGGATATTTTTGCCGGACAAGTTTCTCTCATTTGTTAGAAAGTCAACAGGGCAGTGTGTGTTTGCTGTTACATCATGTATAGGATATTCTTAGCAACAATGGATCATATATCCACCATGATAGACCTCTTTGACATCTGAATTTTAATATTCAAATGTTTGTCCAAAGGTGGCTCAAAGAGAGCAGCGACCTCGTGGATATCTGAGTCTTCACCAGCACATCGAGAGAGACAGAGAGAGAAGCAGCTGACAGGACGACTCAGGAGAAGTAAGTGTGATTCTGTTCAGTCATTTTCATATTTTCTTTATTTTTGAGAAAGATATTCTCCTTCAGAATATTTTCCAAAGGGGAGGAACATTTAATGAATCACATCTCAATCAGAAGTAATGAAATCTAAAACCCTTTTATGTTCATTTATTCCCATAAATCATTTGTTTCTCTTGAAATCAATTGGAATATTTTATGTATTTGTATTAAAATCTCAATGTTTCATTTTGAATCATAAAATGTAACTAAAGTTCACTTTGAAACTTTTTTTGGCACTTTACCAAGAACGCTGGACATTTATAATGAAAAGAAAACATTTAGTCTGAGTCTAGTGGACATTTTGTTTACCTTTCAGGTTCATGTTAGGTTTTTAGAGCTTTGTGGGCGATGTATGCAGCCTGTCCCGTAGACATTACTCAGGGCTGAAAACCCCACTATTTTCCTGCTTTAAAAAACGGTGGTAAATCTTAAATGTTTTATTGGAGATGATGTGTATACACAGCAATCTCACTCTCAGTTCAAATAAACACAATGTAGTTTTCATGAGGGTAAGTTCACCCCTAATAAAAATAATTAACACACATCTTTTAATCGGGCTTATAAAAGCAACAATACACAATTTAATGAAGCTAGAATTTCAGTTGATGTCTCTGATAGTAGGAGTACATTGTAATGTGAATAAATAATCTACAACATAAATCACCAGCAACATATTAATACTTATAGCCTCGACAAAAAAACAAACATAAAAAGTCAGTGTTGTTGTGTGGCATTATAAAGTTATTGTTTAGTTTGCAACTGGTGTTTCATTGAAATGAGACATTTTCATGTGCTAAAAATAAATGTTATGGTCAAGTCAAAGTCAAAGTCAACTTTATTGTCAATCTCAAAATATGTTTGTACACACGATCGAAATACTGTTTCCCACAGTCCCGAGGTATAAAATAACACATTCAAATACAAGAACACTCAATAATTACAAAAAAAACACAAAATAACCGTTTACTTAAGTAAGCAGGATATATATATATATATATATATATATATTAAAAAAAAGTGATGTACATAGTGCAAATGAGAGTACAACATATTTCCATAGCAGCGTAAAAGTGACTGGTGCTTGATTGTTTGTGTGTGTGTGTGTGTGTGTGGGGGGGGGGGGGGGGGGGGGGGGGGGTGTTAAAGTCCCGGTCCAGTGGGGGCAGGGTGGAGAGGTGAGATAGAGGGGAGAGAAGGGAGAGAGAGGAGAGGTGGGAGGGGGGGGGGAGAGAGTTCAGCCTCCTGACAGCCTGGTGGTGTGTGCCTGTTACTGCTGGTGCTGCTCAGAATTTGCATTTCCTTAACATGAACTTCCTCATTAAACTGCTGCACTGAAGGGAGTGGTGCAGTCTGTGTTTCTGGTCATTTGACTGACCCATTAGGTTTTTTAAATAATTTAAATGTAACTGACATCATTTATAAGATTTGTAAATGATCACTGTACACTAACAATATTGGTTTCATCTAACAGAGCAAAGATGCAGTGGAGTCTGTTTGTGCTCATTCTGATGGGTAAGTGGATTCTAAATTAAATCACATCTGGAGTCATGAAACAGCTCACTCTTCATAACAATAAAAAGTGGAATAAGTGTCCTCAGACCCCCGTTAAGATGAAGGGGATGATGTAAGTGGTGGGGGTGATTCTAGTACTCATGAGTTTGATTTAATGATCAGATGCTTGTCATACTGTCAGCTCCATCACTGCAGAATTGTCTCTGTTTTTAGGTCAGTGTTCCTTCTTCACATGTCACCTCTATGAGTACCACTTCATTCCTGAGGGAAAGACCTGGGAGGAAGCCCAGAGTTATTGCAGAGAGAATTACATTGACCTGGCCACAGTGTCTGACATGAGAGACGTGGAGAGATTGACTAACTCTTCACAGACTACAGACGCCTGGATTGGACTGCACAGCATATCAAGAATGTCGTGGCACTGGTCTCTGCCGGGGGTGGAGTTCGAAGAATCTGAGACAGAATGGGAGACAGGTCAGCCGGATAATAAGGCTAACTGTGTGGTGATAAGACGTCAACAATGGCACGATTGGCCTTGTAATGAACATCGTGGGTTCATCTGCTACAATGGTGAGAATACTTATCTAATTTTGATATTGTGTGTTAACCTCATGTCATACTGTGTAACAATTTTGAAAATATAATCACATGTATTTTTCTGAATACATTGTTAAGACAACAATATATTTAAAATAAATGTTTGCTTTTCAGTTTTATATAACATTAATGGTAAATGTCATGATTCAATTCTACACATTTTAAATACATTGTGTGTATACGACAGTGGTCAGGTACAGGCCTACTTGTAATGATGCAATGTAACATTATTAAACGTAACACTTTAATAGACTTTAAACTCAAATTGTGTTAATTCTTTCAAATTTTTCCACAATCTTTTTTGTAGGAAAACACATTTATTTAGACTAATTAACTTGTAATTAATTGTGTCTCTTTTTTCACACAGAACCAAATCAAACATACCACTGTAAATATGAGACCAAGAACTGGCTTGAGGCTCAGAGCTACTGCAGAGAACATCACACTGACCTGGTCAGTGGATTCAAACAGATGAATTCAACAGAATTCAAGGAAACAATCAAAACAGTGTCAAATCCAAATAACGACTTTTGGATCGGCCTGTTCAGAGACACCTGGAGTTGGTCAGATGGGAAGAATTTCTCTTTCAGACACTGGGAGGACTCATTTGAAGATGTAGCCTCAAAGTGTGCTATGACTACGCCAAATGGAAAATGGAGCTCCAACACCTGCACAAATAAAAAACCCTTCTACTGCTATGCCTATGGCGGTGAGTTTTGGAAAAGTAATTAAAAGTATATTAATATTTTGTGTTTAGTTATATATTCATAAAGGTATGTTGAATTTACTTCAGTGGTGAACATATGTATTATATACACAGAATTGCAGATTTGGATTATGTGTTTATTCCTACTATGTATAAAAGATGATTTAATTACAATTATAAAACCAGGACAGACCTGAAAGTTTGATTATCATTTAGTCTGTTTTTTAATTTCTCCTAACATCTTTTTATCCTGGCTTTTACATCAGGTACCAGATCCTTGACTTTTATTTATTTCTGATCTAAATTATGATTGAATGAAAGGTGCTATGTTTATATAGTTGAGAGTTCTTTTATTATGATAACTTGCAATAAGTGGTAACTTTCACTCAAAACTATTATCCATTTCAATTACAGACAAAGTGATCCTGATCAAAGTGAAGAAGACTTGGGATGAGGCCCTGACTTACTGCAGAGAGAACCATCGTGACCTGGTCTCCATCACTGACAGACACCAGCAGAGATGGGTCGAAAAGAGAGCCAAGATGGCCGACACTGAGTTCGTCTGGCTGGGAATGCGCTACACCTGCACTCTGGATCTGTCTTTCAGGGTCAGTGATCGTTCGGTCTGCAATCCTAACTTGACCCCCAAAAAAAAGACTGTTCGTTGTGACAGTGCTGTGGCGATGAAGAGAGATGGAAAGTGGTACAAAAAGGCTGACAGTGAAAAGTTTCATTTCATCTGCGCTAAGTAAACCCATTGGTCTATTTACTGCAACAAGCTCACTCTTCTCTAATCTGTATCTGCTCTCTGGGTTTATTGAATGGCTCTAGTTCAAATATAGAAATCACAGCCTGAAGAGGGGAGAAACTAAATTACTAACAGATTACTAACTGAAATTGAGAAAAAGGGGCGACACTAAAGTCAACATATTTGCCTCTGTGAACATCTGAATGACTTTATGATATGGATTTGTTGTAGTAGTTATTGATATAATGCATGTATATTTATCCTCTTAAAGTGTGAAACCTGTAATCTTCATTTGAATTGTTGTTGTGTCCTATTATATGTTTATGAGGAAAAATATATAAAAAGACAAATCTATTGTGTTTTGCTTTTCCTAAAATGTTTTACGTTATGGTTGAAATGTGGTGATGGTTATAGTAGGTATATATGTGTGTGTCATATTTACCTTTTGTGGAGTTTTAACTGGATGTTTAATTGTCTAAAGCTGAATAAACGATCTGACCCAAAAACAGGAAGTAGTTTTTTCCTTCACTGGCTTTAAATAGTCATGTTTTACATTTACATAAGAGGTTCTTATTTGAAAGTAAAACACATATATAATCTATGGGTTTATAATTGTATAAACTTGTAAATTGATGGAGATATTTTTGTCGGTCTAGTTATCTTTTAACACTAGAGGGCGCTCTTTAACCAGATTTTCTGTTGAAAATATGAGCCTGCTGTCAGTGAGATATGCCTATGATAGCAATGCATGAATAAACATCTTAAAAACAATTTCATTATGACTTTCAAAATAGAAATTTGGTGAAAATAAATGTCACGTAATTTTAAAACATGAGTCTCAATTGAACCCTAAATATTTTTGGAAACTTTACTGCACACGTGTTCAGTTTTACACTATATTGAAATGTAAAAGTTAATATTAGCTATATTGGCCATTCTACCGAATTGGACCAAAGTCAGGTTGGAAATGTTTTGAAATGTATGTTTTTTTCCCAAAACTTTGTCCATATATATTTTGTACCATATCTAAATTACATATATCTAGTAAAAGAACCGTAGGTTACAAGCCAATTTTCAGATTTTGGAACAGATTTATATCAAAAGTATGGGATATAGCTACTTGCCATTCAGCCATGAGGGACAGGGATGCAGTGTCACTGCCTTGTCAAAAATGCAGGGGTGTGGCTAAAAACCAGGCTCAGCCATTGGACTAAAACCCTTTGTGTTTCGGTAGTGACATGAAAACTGGGGACATGATTTTTTGAGTATAGTTTTTTTTATTCAAAAATGATACCCACAATAAATCTAAATATTCCAACTTCTGTTTGAATGTAATCATAAAGATCTTCTAAATACACCATTGAACAACATTTAAAAAAAATGTTTTAAGTGTTATTTATAGAAATTGAAATGTAGATGTCAAGGGTTGGGGACAGCTACTTCCCAATAGAAAGTACCCTATAAATGATGTTTTTGTATATATTAAGCTTATCACTATATAATGTAATGCCTTGTGTTTAAATAGACCATAACATATTCTTAGTAAACATCTATGTCTGAATACTTAATTGTTTTGTTAAATAGTTTTTCTTGTTGTGGGACCGCATTTTGTACTAATTCGGTAGAAAGTCCCATATAACACGTGGCAGAAACATACATAATCGTCTGCTTTTTTCAAACAGTTTAGCAGAATATGAATTTTTCTATAGTTAAACATATGTTCTTTGCTGCTCTCTGGTGGACAAACCGTGTTCTGCTAGAGCAGCCTCCCTCTCCTCCATCCTCATCCTTCTGAAGCTTTTTCAGCGTTGACATTAAACCACCAGTTCTCCTTCACACCCTCCAAGAACTGTGAGTTACTGACTGAGCCATGAACTGAAAGCATGACATCTGCTTTAAACACTTGGAAGTCTCCCTGTCACACCAGCACCAACCCTTGGGTCAGTCAGATGTCTCGTTACCATGAGTGGGTTTATTTATTTTTTAAGCTATTCATACTGCTATGATGCCTGTATGCAGGCGAGCTGTTAAAAGCCCCTACTATTGTTAAAATAGGCCTAATGTCAGGGGCCTCTTAATGTCTAGTTCTACATGTATTCACATTCTATAGACAATGTTTCCACCTAGTAAAACTAAAGGCTGCACGAAACTCAGGCTACAATACAACCATTAACTAATGAGTAAATGTTCAAACATATTAGTTTAAAATAAATGTTTTTGTTATTATGTATCTGTGATTTTATGTGTTCATTATTATGCTTTTGACAAAAGATGCTCCAAACACTGACGAGAGATGATTGTTCTATTATGATTGGCTGTCTCGATCATTGTGATTGAATGTTTCAGTCGTATTATGTTGTTCTTAATGTGATTGTTATTGATGTAATTGATGTTGTGTAAGTCCACACTCAAATCTGAAGATTCCCATTGATTTATGTATTGAACAAAATATTATTAGACTAAGGTTTTTAGGTTATCAAAATTGATAAAAAGAGAGGCACTGTTGGGGAAATATGTTCCAATGTATCAGTTCATGCTGTCCTGACTGAGCACACGCACCTGTAGCCTTGGCTGCTGTGCTCTCAGTGCTTTGTCTCCCTGTTCCTGCCTGTTGGCGTCAGCTGATAGAGGTGTTATGATTCTGTCTTGTTATGCACAATGTTGATTATTCTCTCTGAACTAGATAAATACAGGTCTGGGGTAGAGTTCTTCAGAATTGACCCGGCAACAGAAGTTTCCCCCACACATGCGATACATATATGAGAGGAACCTTACAATACGCAAGTGTGAATCAGTCAATTCCTGCCACACAACGGTATGGCAACCTAAACATGTATTATAAAGAGTTTATGTAACTGTGTACACCCTTCGTGAAAGTTATAGAGAATTAAATTATAAGAAAGTATACTAGAAATTTGAAATACTGAAGGAAAAAAGATACATTCACAATACAATGTTTACTACAATAAACTCTATCAAAATAAGAGACATAACAGAGGTTAAACTTACCCTGTTTCTTCTCTCCTCGCTTCACTCTCTGCGTCATACTGGTTTAGACTTCTCCCAATAGATGTTTAATATGTCGCTAATTTACTGCCAGCATTTGAATATTACAACACAACATATTATGATCTCTGTCGCGACCATTGATCCAAAGCAGAAGTCCATATCAGTTATGACAGGACATTTACATACAGTGATGTAATGGAAAAAACCCAGAGATGGGACCCGGAAAGCTGGCTGTCCAACAAACATGGTTTAAAAAATGCTGAAAGCTACACTGATGAAAAGTTTGGAAATAATGGTTTTATCCTCAAAAGAAATACTTACTTACTTAATAAATACTTATGAGCCCTCAAAGCGTTTTACATAAACAGGTCAGCATTCACCCGTTGTCACCCATTCATACAGAGGCAGAAATTAACATTCATACATTCAAGCACCGTTTAGTCTTACGTCCCAGAGGGGTCTCTTGGGGGAGAACGGAGACGATAACATACCACACCAATACATTGAGGCAGTCGGAATAGAAGTGGGTGCAGGTGGTTCTAGACTAATTTTACTGGCGGGGCCGTGATGGGGCCAATCATTTAATGAGAGGCACATGTAATGCAGGAAGAAGGAGATTTAAAATGTTTTTGTTTAAAGTCAGAGCGCATAATAAAGCATAAAATACCATTATTGGTGTTTGATTAAGTAACAGAGTTTGTGTCAATGACTTTGTTATCATTTTATTTGATTGTTTTAGTTACTTTGGCCCAAGATACAGAAGAATAAAATAAGTTTGCGGTAATAAATACATTATTTATGAAAAACTGTGTTTTTATTGTATTTCTTAATATGTGTTGGGATTTGTCTAAGTTACAACATTTGTTCCAGTAACTCACTTATTAAATTACATTACTGAAAAAAAGCACAGTAACTTAGTATTTTACATTAATTGCATTATCATAGATTTATTATTTTGGAGTCGGGCCACAGGGGGGTCCAAGCTCCGCGTCACAGCCCCCTGTTTGCCCTAGAAGTGCCAATGGCTACACACAAGACATGTTTAAACCAAACACTCCTTCACGTGCGCTTCACTCTGCATCGACCAATCGGCTTGCTCCTTCCACAGTGTGAGTGGGACCCAGGTACCCGTCTACAGAAACGAGCCTGTTTGCTATCCTCACTCCTAATTGGTGCAACGAGCTCCCTGCTGATATCAGGACAAGGGTTTTCAGCACTTACAGTACTTTCATACTTATCGGCCTTTTGTTTATGTATAGATACAAAAATGTAAACTGACCATGTGAAGGTTTAAGAAAATGTAGTAAAACTTGTGCACATTTTTTATATTTGACTAGAAACCCTTTCTCTTGTAGCTATATCAATTGTTAATTAAATGTTTGTTATCACTATCCTTCTTGTAGAACTCGGGCAGTAATAACTCATCGTTTCAGATAAAGTCCTCTGAAACAATTAGAAATATAGACATTATAATGGATATATAAATATAATTAATATTATTAGTGGATATTTTTGCCGGACAAGTTTCTCTCATTTGTTAGAAAGTCAACAGGGCAGTGTGTGTTTGCTGTTACATCATGTATAGGATATTCTTAGCAACAATGGATCATATATCCACCATGATAGACCTCTTTGACATCTGAATTTTAATATTCAAATGTTTGTCCAAAGGTGGCTCAAAGAGAGCAGCGACCTCGTGGATATCTGAGTCTTCACCAGCACATCGAGAGAGACGGAGAGAGAAGCAGCTGACAGGACGACTCAGGAGAAGTAAGTGTGATTCTGTTCAGTCATTTTCATATTTTGTTTATTTTTGAGAAAGATATTCTCCTTCAGAATATTTTCCAAAGGGGAGGAACATTTAATGAATCACATCTCAATCAGAAGCAATGAAATCTAAAACCCTTTTATGTTCATTTATTCCCTTAAATCATTTGTTTCTCTTGAAATCACTTGGAATATTTTATGTATTTGTATTAAAATCTCAATGTTTCATTTTGAATCATAAAATGTAACTAATGTTCACTTTGAAACTTTTTTTGGCACTTTACCAAGAACGCTGGACATTTATAATGAAAAAAAAACATTTAGTTTATGTCTCTGATAGTAGGAGTACATTGTAATGTGAATAAATAATCGACAACATATATCACCAGCAACATATTAATACTTATAGCCTCGACAAAAAAACTAAAAGTCAGTGTTGTTGTGTGGCACTATACAGTTATTGTTTCATTGAAATGAGACATTTCCATGTGCTAAAAATACATTTTACGGTGTGTGCCTGTTACTGCTGGTGACTGCTTCCTCATTAAACTGCTGCACTGAAGGGAGTGGTGCAGTCTGTGTTTCTGGTCATTTGACTGACCCATTAGGTTTTTTAAATAATTTAAATGTAACTGACATCATTTATAAGATTTGTAAATGATCACTGTACACTAACAATGTTGGTTTCATCTAACAGAGCAAAGATGCAGTGGAGTCTGTTTGTGCTCATTCTGATGGGTAAGTGGATTTTAAATTAAATCACATCTGGAGTCATGAAACTGCTCACTCTTCATAACAATAAAAAGTTGAATAAGTGTCCTCAGACCCCCGTTAAGATGAAGGGGATGGTGTAAGTGGTGGGGGTGATTTTAGTACTCATGATTTTGATTTAATGATCAGGTGCTTGTCATACTGTCAGCTCCATCACTGCAGAATTGTCTCTGTTTTTAGGTCAGTGTTCCTTCTTCACATGTCACCTCTATGAGTACCACTTCATTCCTGAGAGAAAGACCTGGGATGAAGCCCAGAGTTATTGCAGAGAGCATTACACTGACCTGGCCACAGTGTCTGACATGAGAGACGTGGAGAGACTGACTAACCCTCCACAGACTACAGACGCCTGGATTGGACTGCACAACATACCAGGAATGTCGTGGCACTGGTCTCTGCCGGGGGTGGAGTTCAAAGAATCTGAGACAGAATGGGAGACAGGTCAGCCGGATAATAAGGCTAACTGTGTGGGGATAAGAGGTCAACAATGGTGTGATATCCCTTGTAATGAACATCGTGGGTTCATCTGCTACAATGGTGAGAATACATATCTAATTTTGATATTGTGTATTAACCTCATGTCATACTGTGTAACAATTTTGAAAATATAATCACACGTATTTTTCTGAATACATTGTTAAGACAACAATATATTTAAAATAAATGTTTGCTTTTCAGTTTTATATAAGATTAATGGTAAATGTCATGATACAATTCTACACATTTTAAATACTTGTGTGTATACGACAGTGGTCAGGTACAGGCCTACTTGTAATGATGCAATGTAACATTATTAAACGTAACACTTTAATAGACTTTAAACTCAAATTGTGTTAATTCTTTCACATTTTTCCACACATTTTTTTGTAGGAAAACACATTTATTGAGACTAATTAACTTGTAAAAATGTGTAATTAGTTGTGTCTCTTTTTTCACACAGAACCAAATCAAACATACCACTCTATAGTTGAGACCAAGAACTGGCTTCAGGCTCAGAGCTACTGCAGAGAACATCACACTGACCTGGTCAGTGGATTCAAACAGATGAATTCAACAGAATTCAAGGAAACAATCAAAACATTGTCAAATCCAGATAACGAGTTTTGGATCGGCCTGTTCAGAGACACCTGGAGTTGGTCAGATGGGAAGAATTTCTCTTTCAGACACTGGGATTCGGACTCATTTGAAGATGATGCCTCAAAGAAATGTGCTATGACTAAGCCAAATGGAAAATGGAGCTCCGACACCTGCACAAATAAAAAACCCTTCTACTGCTATGAGGGTGAGTTTTGAAAAAATCTTTAAAAGTATTTTAGTTTTTAGTTATATGTTTGTACACACATGTTAAATATCCTTTAGTGGAGACTGACAATTATAAAACCATGAAAGAGCAGAAAGTAATGAATATCATTTAGTCGTGTTTTTGACCTCACATTTCTTTATCCTGGCTTTTACAAAAGGTGCCACGTGATTTGTTGTCTTAGTTTTCTTTAACAACGGTTTTCATACTATTTCTATATATTGTACTTTTAGAGATTTCTATTTATTATAACAACAAATGATGATTGCATGGTGCTATGTTATTGAAATTCAAAGTTGTTTTTCAATAAATAGTTAATCTATATTTTTTTAATTATCCATTTCAGTGCCAGACAAAGTGATCCTGATCAAAGAGAAGAAGACTTGGGATGAGGCCCTGACTTACTGCAGAGAGAACCACCGTGACCTGGTCTCCATCACTGACAGTCACCAGCAGAGATGGGTCCAAGAGAGAGCCAAGATGGCCGACACTGAGTTCGTCTGGCTGGGAATGCGCTACACCTGCACTCTGGATCTGTGGCTATGGGTCATTGATCGTCTGGTCTGCTTTGACAACTGGGCCACAGACCAAATGGATGAGCAGTGTGGCATGGCTGGAGTCATGGAGAGAGATGGAAAGTGGTACAAAAAGCCTGACCATAAAAAGTTTAATTTCATCTGCGCTAAGTAAACCCATTGGTATATTTACTGCTACAAGCTCACTCTTCTCTAATCTGTATCTGCTCTCTGGGTTTATTGAATGGCTCTAGTTCAAATATAGAAATCACAGCCTGAAGAGGGGAGAAACTAAATTACTAACTGAAGTACTTTATGATATGGTTTTGTCTTAAAGTGTGAAACCTGTAATCTTCATTTGAATTGTTGTTGTGTCCTATTATATGTTTATGAGGAAACGTATATAAAAAGACACATCTATTATGTTTTGCTTTCCATAAAATATTTTACGTTATGGTTGAAATGTGGTGATGGTTATAATATGTGTATCACTATTTTTGTCATATTTACCTTTTGTGGAGTTTTAACTGGATGTTTAATTGTCTAAAGCTGAATAAACGATCTGACCCAAAAACAAGGTGTGGTTCTTTCCTCCACTGGCTTTAAATAGTCATGTTTTACATTTACATAAGAGGTGCTTATTTGAAAGTAAAACACATATATAATCTATGGGTTTATAATTGTATAAACTTGTAAATTGATGGAGATATTTTTGTTGGTCTAGTTATCTTTTAACACTAGAGGGCGTTCTTTAACCAGATTGCCTGCTGTCAGTGAGATATGCCTATGAAAGTCACAGCAATGCATATATAAACTTCTTACAAACAATTTCCTTATGACTTTCAAAATAGAAATTTGTTGAAAATAAATGTCACGTAATTTTAAAACATGAGTCTCAATTTAACCCCATTAAATATTTTGGAAACTTTACTGCACACGTGTTCAGTTTTACACTATATTGAAATGTAAACGTTTAATTAATATTAGCTATATAACACGTGGCAGAAACATACCTAATAGTCCGCTTTTTTCAAACAGTTTAGCAGAATATGAATTTTTCTATAGTTAAAAATATATTATTGGCTGCTCTCTGGTGGACAAACCGTGTTCTGCTAGAGCAGCCTCCCTCTCCTCCATCCTCCTCCTTCTGAACCTTTTTCAGCGTTGACATTAAACCACCAGTTCTCCTTCACACCCTCCAAGAACTGTGAGTTTCTGGCTCTGCACCCTCGCTGCATACCTCCTGCCGCAAAGACCTACAGGGTAACTTGGAGAGGATCTGTACTTTACTTCACTCGGCTCCAAGATTTGCTCTCATGGCTTCTCCTGCTAAACCTTTACAGATGACACTAAACTGCTTCCCTCTTTTCCACGGTCTGAAACACAGGTGGTCTTATGTATCTCTGCTTGTCCGGCTAACATCTCCCAGTGGATGCTTGCACACCACCTGAAGCTCAACCCAGACAAGACAGAACTGCTCTTCCTTCCAGGTAAAGACTCTCCCATCCATGATCTCTCCATCAACACCGGCACCTCTGTTGTTTCCCAAACTCACACTGGCAGGAATCTGGATGTGATATTCAATGACCAACTTTCCTTCACTGCTAACATGGCTGCTACTCCGCTCCTACTCAACATAAGGTTACGTCTACTGACCCAGAATGCAACACAGGTTCTGGTCCAGGCCCTTGTCCTCTCACGACTTGATTACTAAAACTAGTGTGTGTGTGTGTGTGTGTGTGTGTGTGTGTGTGTGTGTGTGTGTGTGTGTGTGTGTGTGTGTGTGTGTGTGTGTGTGTGTGTGTGTGTGTGTGTGTGTGTGTGTGTTATATGATGGATACCTGAACAAATGTAAAACGTCATAACATAGTTGGTTATTAACATATTGTTATCGTCCAATGAATCATTTATTTCTAGCAGTTGTTCTTGAATCACTGTTCTTATAGTGGGCAAATCCCAACGACAGCAGGCACCAACAGAAGAGCTGGTTCAACTGCGTCCTCTAGTGTTGAAAGATAACCACAACAACAAAAACATCTTCCACTTCTATGACTAATTCCTGTTTTACTTACGGTGCATTTTGACAAGCTGCATATTCATTACAGAATGAAGTCTGTCAGTGAACTCAAACACAGTCCTCATTATGACAGCTATAGAGAAATTATTTTCGATTGCATACCCACCCATACATTATATATGTGTTTACTTTCAAATAAGCACCTCTTATGTAAATGTAAAACATGACTATTTAAAGCCAGTGGATGAAAGAACCACACCTTGTTTTTGGGTCAGATCGTTTATTCAGTTTTAGACAATTAAACATCCAGTTAAAACTCCATTAAGGTAAATATGACAAAAATAGTGATACACATATTATAACCATCACCACATTTCAACCATAACGTAAAACATTTTAGGAAAAGCAAAACATTATAGATTTGTCTTTTTATATATTTTTCCTCATAAACATATAATAGGACACAACAACAATTCAAATGATGTTTACAGGTTTCACACTTTAAGAGGATAAATATACATGTACTATATGAATAACTACTACAACAAATTAATATGTATATATTATATGTTGACTTTAGTGTCGCCCCTTTTTCTCAATTTCAGTTAGTAATCTGTTAGTAATTTAGTTTCTCCCCTCTTCAGGCTGTGATTTCTATATTTGAACTAGAGCCATTCAATAAACCCAGAGAGCAGATACAGATTAGAGAAGAGTGAGCTTGTAGCAGTAAATATACCAATGGGTTTACTTAGCGCAGATGAAATTAAACTTTTCATTGTCAGCCTTTTTGTACCACTTTCCATCTCTCTCCATGACTCCAGCCATGCCACACTGCTCATCCATTTCTTCTGGGGCCCAGTTGTTATAGCAGACCAGACGATCAATGACCCAGAGCCACAGATCCAGAGTGCAGGTGTAGCGCATTCCCAGCCAGACGAACTCAGTGTCGGCCATCTTGGCTCTCTTTTCGACCCATCTCTGCTGGTGTCTGTCAGTGATGGAGACCAGGTCACGGTGGTTCACTCTGCAGTAATCCAAGGCCTCATCCCAAGTCTTATTCTCTTTGATCAGGATCACTTTGTCTGAATTTTTTTTAGTTAGGGTAACCATTTATTGCAAAACAATTCTCAACTTCAATAATATAGCATCTTTCATATAAGGATCATTTGTTTAAAAAAAATAAAAATGAAAGTTGCTTAAAGTGGACCTATCATGCTATATTTGAAACATATATTGTAGGGCCATACCAATATAAAACATGTCTTCAAAATACCAAACAGATCATGCATTTTAGCCATGCCTCATTTAGCTCTTTTTGCTCTTTTCCAGCCCTGTTTTTGTAAGGGCTGATTCTGCTTTTGTGGCAGACTACAGCGCCACTTACAGGCCTGGCATATGTACTACAGCGTCTCCAGCGCTTTCGAGCGGTCTCTCATTCCCCTGATAGGTGGAGAGTTGCCCATATAGGCGGAGCACCCCTTTTCTGACGTCAGAAAAATTCAAATAATAATCAGCTCCGTTGCAACCCCGTTTTTAGAGATTTGGGTATGGAGGAAAAGAGAGAGGGTTGTGTTTTCTGACACTTGGTGAGTTCCCTGGAACACCGGGGACACATATTCATGTATAAAAGACGTTCAAAAGTGCATTTTGCATGATAGGTCCCCTTTAAGTTAAAAAGATACAAATACAATGAAAACCAATGACAAGGAAAAATAAGGCCAGAAATGATGTGGCACCTTCTGTAAAAGCCAGGTTTAAAAGATCTGTCTTAAGGACAAAAACAAACAAATAGCTTAGTGATATTTAAAACTGCTCTTTCATGTTTTTTTTAATAATTTTAAGCTCTCCACCCAGGCTTCACCCACTTGGACACTAAAAACTCTTATGTTAGGATGCTGTTCATTGTTCATAGAATTTAGTTCAGCGTTCAACACCATCATCCCCCAGCAGCTGGTTTGTAAACAAACCTCGGCCTCAGCTCTCTTCTCTGTAACTGGCTGCTGGACTTCCTCACTGCCAGACCTCAATCTGTACGGGTCGGCAACAACACATCAGGCACCATCACACTCAGTATGGGGGCCCCCCAAGGATGTGTGCTCAGCCCCCTGCTCTTCACCCTGCTGACCGACGACTGCACACCCACCCACAGCTCCAACCACTTCATCAAGTTTGCGGATGACACAACCGTGGTGGGTCTCATCAGCAACAACAATGAGACCCACTACAGGAGGGAGGTGAACCAGCTGGCCACGTGGTGCATAGATAACAATCTCTTTCTCAATGTGGAGAAAACAAAAGAGATTGTTAACGACTTCAGGAGAACCTACACCCAACACCCCCACCCACTGACCATCGGTGGTGCTGCTGTGGAGCAGGTGAACACAGCTGAACACAGCTGAGAGGATCATCGGTGCCTCACTCCCATCACTCCTGGACATTTACAACACCTGCCTCACCCGCAGAGCACTCAGCATTGTGGGTTACCCCACCCATCCCTCCACCTGCCTCTTCATTTTTGTGATTTTATTTAGGTTGTAATATGTGCATATGTATAAATGTGTCTTTGATTGTATAGGTATATACATATTTGCATACATATTTTTATATATATTTGTTTTTGTATTGGGGGTTGTGGGAAACGGTATTTCGATCTCTCTGTCTGTACACACAAACTGGAAGATTGACAATAAAGTTGACTTTGAATTTATGACTTTGAAGGAGAACTGGTGGTTTAATGTCAACGCTGAAAAAGGTTCAGAAGGATGAGGATGGAGGAGAGGGAGGCTGCTCTAGCAGAACACGGTTTGTCCACCAGAGAGCAGCAAAGAATATATTTTTAACTATAGAAAAATGTATATTAAGTTAAACTGTTTGAAAAAGACGGACAATTATGTATGTTTCTGCCACGTGTGTTATAGCTCATATTCAATAAACTTTTAAATATCAATTTGGGTTCCAATGTTTCCATTGACAAGTATAAAACTCAACACATGTGCATTAAAGTTTCCAATACACTCAATGGGGTTAAATTGAGACTCATGTTTAATTATCACGTGACATTTATTGTCAACACATTTCTGTTTAGAAAGTCATTATGAAATTGTTTGTAAGATGTTTATACATGCATTGCTATCATAGGCCTATAGCGATGACAGCAGGCACATGTTTTCAACAGAAAATCTGGTTCAAGTGCGCCTTCTAGTGTTGAAAGATAACTAGACCAACAAAAACATCACATTTTATGACTAATCAGCACATTTCCTGCTTTCTTAGTGTGCTTACATTTTGGCAAGCACCTTCTTAGAAATCAAGAATTAAATCTATCAGTGCCCTCAAACACAGTCCTTGTTATGTAGTTTGATTTGTAAGAATGACAGCCATGGAGGAATCCCTTTACATTATAAACCCATACATTATATTATATATATGTTTTACTGTCAAATAAGCACGTCTTAGGTAAATGTAAAACATTCATATTTAAAGCCAGTGGAAGAAAGCACCACATCCTGTTTTTTGCTTGGATCGTTTATTCAGCTTTAGACAATTAAACA